CATGAGAATTGAGCGTTTATACACTAAAGGAAAGGAATAAACTGAACAAAGCCCAAGATAAGCTCATGATGTGCTTAGCTATACATCATGGTGGAATGTACCATGTGGTACTAGAGATATTTCAAGCTCGTGTCATTACGACATTTCTTAAAACTTCATTGAAAGAATGAATGAAGTATTGCTGAAATGTGGAAATCTGGTTGGGAACCAAGCTTCTTCTATAACCCAGTGTAATAGGATATCTTTTTTTTCATAATTAAGATTTGCTCTGAATCTTCTGTGAGGCTCAGTGATCCCAGTCAGAATGACAGACTTTAAAATTTTAACTGTTTTTTCAGTAAATGTTCTTTGCTTGTTAACATTCATAACTTTACAATTTTCTACAACCTGTCAACTAATAAAATTTACCAGAGTACCTCAAGTTAAACCAATTTAATTCAGTATTCAAAAATTTCAAATGCTCTTACATATAAGTCATGTGATAAATTTCTCTCAAAGACTCTTGGCATCTTTCATTCATTTTAATTAAATCTGCTGATGTAAAGCTGTAAGAATTTTTCACTTTAGATATCTGTTAGGAGATTAAAAAACAAATGTCAAGACACATTCCTATGAAGTAAAACATATAGACTTTAAACAATAGAAATACAAGTATTTAGGTTAATCACTTTAGTTTCTGAGACACAGTACCACAAACAAAGTCCCAAATAATGTTTGTGAAAGAGAAAAGGAAGATCAATTCTAAAGTTAAAGATGAATTTTTTGACCTGGTCTATCTGACATGACTATTTTTACAGGTCTTAAAATAGCCATGTAGAAATGTTAAAACACTACATCTTATTACTAATAATATGCATAGCAGATAGTAATCCTCACTGCATCTCTAATCCCTGTCTTAGCCATTGCTCCATATCTGAACCTCACTCAAGCTCTCAATCCATTCTTTATTTCATCCATGCCTTATTACTGGTAATATAGTACATATTTTAAAGACCTGAAAGTTAAATGGTTTGTTTTTGTCAAAAGGTACCCACTGGGGGCAGAGAAAATAAAGATTAGTGTGAGTCAGACTTCACCAAACTGGTATATTGTGGAGGAGTTAACATGTATAAGGAAAAAACATCACCCTGGTCCAAAGGTTTGGCAACACTGGATTTAAAAAATTAAGCAAATTTCTTTACATCAGGACTTTTAAAACTTTAATAGGCAGATGTGCATTGAGAACAACCTGAAACAGGAGAAAGCACGGTACTTTGTAAATTTTTTTGATCAAAAATTCCTTTTGGACTTTCTTTCTTCATTTTCCCTTCTTACCCATATCAAGCTCCCAGAACTGTGGGAAGCACTGTGTTTGGTATTTCTCTAAAAAATTCTTCTAAGTCATTCTCAGATTAGTAAAGCTGTTAGGTAGAGGGGTAGGAGTAAGAGAAGCAATATACAGAACATTCAGAAATTTGGCATGTAAAACTCAAGAAGTGCCTGAAAATATGTAAATGTAATTCTGTAAAATCAGAAACAATAATTTCCTAACCCAAACTCTAGAATGAACCTTAATAAACTCTGAAGGAAGTTGATCATTGGGTAGGGCTGTACAATCTGTAGTCATCTGGATGAAAAACCCTCGCGCTGAGCTAAAACTTGTCCTCAAAGGAAGACTGTATTTTTCTGCAAGCTGTGATATCATTCCTAATGACCAGAAATAAGAAAAACAAAAACAAAACAAAGAAATTTTAATGAGAAAATTACTCTTCATGTTTAAAAAAATAACATAACTTTTTCTTGTTATTTTATATATAAGTTGGAAGGTCTTGTTACTTTTTTAAAATTAAAGTATAGTTGATTTGCAATATTGCGTTAATCTCAAGTATATAACACAGTGACTCAGGTTTTTTGCAGATTATATTCTAGCATAGGTTATTACAAGATATTGGGTATAATTCTCTGTGCTATACAGTAAATCCTTGTTGCTTATCTATTTTATGTATAATAATTTGTATCTACAAAATATATTTTATAAGACAAAATACTCCAAAAAGGAAACAGATGAATCATCAAATAAAATTCCTCAAAAAAAAAACTTCCTATCAACTGTAAACTCACTACAGAGTTCTAAATTTATACTTTTAACATGATGACCATTAATGCTCTGAACATTACTTGAGAAAACTAACATCCTTATTCCTCAAAAATGGTTCCTCCAATAATATTCCTGCTTTTCTCAGTGGTACAACCATTCTTAGGCTAGAAATTTCAATTAGCACTAATGGCTACATTTCCTTTTTAAATATCTACTCAATTATTCATTTTTATCAATTCTTCCTTCAATCTTTGCATTTCTTCTTCTCTTAGACATTACTATCATCCTAAATAATGCTTTATTAACTTTTAATAGTTTAAAATATCTCTGCTTTCCATTGTTCCACTGAAATTCATTCAACATATCTTCTTGATCAATTGCACTCCACAGAGCAAAAACATCTCCATGCCTCTTCATTTTCCGTGGGAAAAATCTCCAAATTGGCCTTCAAAGACTAAATTCTGATTCCCAGTCTACTTTTCTAAACTTATCTTACTAGTTCTGTGAGGGAATGCCCTATTTCATCCTAACAAATTTCTTCTCTCAACCCTTCGGGTTTCCTCATGTGTTTGTGCTTCAGTTTGTACCACTGCCAGAGGGTGGAATTCCTTTCTAGGCTATTCTATGTACTAAAAACATTCCCTCCTCTATGTCTCCACACCTAGTCACTCTCTGATCCCTTTAACCTGACTATTTTCTTTATATCTCTTAGATCCATGTGCAATTTACGATATATGATTGGTATATTTTATATATCAATATGGATATACATATATATGTGTATGTGTTTGTTTCTTTATCATCTGTCTCCACTACTATAATGCAAGCTCCATGAGGACAGGAACTGTGTCCTGTTCACTATGCATTCCCAGTACTCAAAATAGTGTCCATATTTACTAGGAGACAAATCAAGTCATTAAATGAATTACTGGACTAGTTCGAATTCTATCTCTTCTAGACAAAAATGACATATCTCTCCCTCCACTGAAATCCTTTAGCACTGATATCCTGCATTTTTCATGTAATTGATATACAACATTGCACAAAGGTAAACTAATCTCCTGGCCTTCATGTAACCCTATATTTAAGTTTTAAGAAATGCTATGTTTAAGTTTGGAGAAAAGAAGGGACATATTGTAACATTTTGAGATCTTTATTTTTTCAAAGACTCCTTAAATGATAATATGTGTTAAACTTATCTGTTTTGGTAAAAAATAAATTTAAAATAGAAATATATGTGTGTTACAATAGCCAAAACATGGAAACAGCCTAAATGTCCATCAACAGGTGACTGGATAAAGAAGATGTGGTATATTTATACAATGGAATACTACTC